CCTTCCAAGTAGCTGGAATTATAGGCATGCATCAATCACCACGGCCAGCTAATTTTTCTTGATTTATTGTAGAGACGAGGTCTCACCAAGCTGCTTGGGCTCAGAACCCCTGGGCTCAGGCAATCCTCTCGCCTCGGTTTCCTAAAGTGCTGGGATTATAGGCTTGAGTCACTGTGCCCGAACTTACTTTAGATTTTATTTAATTTTAATTTTTTTTTTTTGAGTTGGAGTCTCACTCTGTCACCCAGACTGGAGTGTAGTGGCTGCTCCTGGCCATCGCAGCCTCGACCCGCTGGGCTCCGGCGATCCTTCTGCCTCAGCCTTCCAATCCAAGTAACTGGAACTACAGGTGTGCGCTACCAAGCCCGGCTAATTTTGATTTATTGTAGAGATGAGGTCTTGCCAAGTTGCCCAGGTGGGTCTAGAACCCGTGGGCTCAGGCAATTCACTCATCTTGGCCTCCCAAAGCACTGGGATTACAGGTTGAGCTACCGAGCCTGGCCTTACTTTAGATTTTTAAAGGTTAAGTTTAGAAACTTTCAATTTAGGCTAAACGTAGAAACTGCTTGAATTAAAACACACATTTTACTTATCTCCCGTTACTGCCCTTGAAATCTAGTAACTACTGCTGGTACTGAAGAGAACACAACCACCTGCACTGAGCCCTCTGATAAGCAGGAGACATAAAGAAAATTGCACATCCCCGGAGAAGCCTCTGTTGGACCTAGATAAGCAATGGGCTCTGATGAAACTCCCTATAACCCCCAAAATGTATCTGTTCCCTTAGTCCTTAAATAACAACTGCTTTCTTTTATGCCTTTGAATCAAATTTATGTGTAATTTTAATTATTAGCAAGTCTTATGAGCCAAAACTCCCCAAGGTAAGTGAAGAACTGTAATGACTGGAAAGTACCCAGCCCCAAATTGTTGAAAGTCATTGAAAATTGACAGAATGGCAGGATTGTAGTTCCAGCTACTTGGGGGGGCTGAAGCAGAAGGATCACCTGAGCCCAGCAAGTAGACGCTGTGGCGGCTGTGAGTGTGTTACTGCACTCCAGCCTGGGCAACAGAATGAAACTCCAACAGAAAAGAAAGGAAAGGAAAGGAAAGGGAAAGGGAAAGGGAAAGGGAAAGGAAAGGAAAGGAAAGGAAAGGAAAGGAAAGGAAAGGAAAGGAAAGGAAAGGAAGAAAGAATTCATGCACTCTGAACACTGGTTTATGTCTGCAACTGCCTGGGGTCTAAACTCTAATTAGAAAAGATACTAAACAGCTGGGTGCAGTGACTGAAGCCTGTAATCACATCACTTTGGGAGGCCAAGGTGACAGGACTGCCTGAGCCCACGGGATTGAGACCAGCCTGGGCATTATGACAAGACCTCAACTCTACAATAAATAAAAAATTTGGCTGGGAGTTGTGGTGCGCACCTGTCATTCCAGCTACTTGGAAGGTGGAGGCAGAAGGATCACCTGAGAACAGTTGGTTGAGGCTGCGGTAACCATGAGCATGCCATTGTACTCCAGCCTGGATCTGACTCAAAAAACTCTGACTCAAAAAAAAAAAAAA